CTGCATACTAGTGATATTGATATGCGAATCTCTTTAGCAAACCCTCTTTGTCTACAATGCTATGCAATATTATCACATATATATTTTATATTTTCACGTGCAAAAATTTTTAAAGTATCTTCAAAGTCTATCCAATCGATGTACCTATTAATTTTTCTAAAACTTGTAGTGATTTAAAAAAAAAATCCTAAAAAGAGCTTTTTGACGGCATTTTCTGTAATTAAAGAAGAAATTAAAAAATGTTCCTGTATCACATCGCAACTAGGATATCCAATGGACATCCGGAGGAGCATTCAAAGAACAACGGCTGCTGCAATGTGAGAGGGAGAAAAGAAAGAAAGCAGACAAGCGAGAAAGAGACAGGGAAATGCCACAGCGGTCATACCTGGTGCGGGGTGCATTGTGCAAACTGGCAGAGCGAGCGGAGAGTCCGTTCTCGGTTCCTCGTATTTTCCTCCTTTCTGTTCCTCCCTCGTACGTCTCTCAGCAACCATACTCTCGCTTCTCGGTTGCTCGCGGCGAGCCGCCGATAGCCCCGACAGTCCCTTCGAATCTTTCTTCTATATGTCGACTCTGCCGCTTCACCGCAACCACCGCACGATTGCCGCACGTTTCTACCGGCCGCCTTTTTTCCATTCGCTCTTTTCCCGCGATGCAACGCGCTGTGGCCTGACGCATTTTCCCGCCGTATGGCTTTTCCTCACTGAAACCGAAACGAGGAGGTGGCCGTCAGATAGGAAACCACATGTTGCGGTTTTTCATGCCGCTCGCTCTTTCGTACCGTGATATCTCTGACGTGCTCGCCTCTCACCTTGCTCGGGAAAATCTAATGGAATTTTTTATATTTTTCCGGCTATAAGTTGAGCAGGGTCTAATGAGAATCCGACCAGCCCTCGGGTAAGTCGGCTAAGTCGATCTTTCTCAGAGTCGCGCCTTTTTATTGCCGTCGAGTAATTCTTCTTCGCGCCATTATTCCTGCGTTTAATTCACAAACCGTCGCGAGCTTCTCTTCCTCTTTCGACTCTTACATATGTAACTGAATTACAATTTATTCGATTTAACGCGCGTGTTTATCCATGCGATATGTTTAAGATGTTTTCATCTCTTGCGCGAAAGAAAAGTAGTCATTTTATAGAAAAAAAAAAAAAAAAACGTCGATTTCTTTTTCATCCAAACAAGAAGAGAACACACATAGTAAACGTCGTACAGTAGTATTATGAAAATTCGTTACAACTGTAAATCATCACTATCATCATAGTTACAGGATATACGCTGCATTTAAATGTTCCTCCTTCGTTATTTCGACTCTGTCGTTCTTCTGCGTCTATTTTACTTCCACGAATGTAAGATAGCTCCGAGCTCCATCCTTTCCTTTTCCTCCTCCTCTCCTTTTCTTCTCTCCCACGAATTTATGCTTATTCCGATTTCGGAATAGTCCTTTCTTTCTCTTTCTCCTTTGTGCCGCGTTTGATGGATAGTCACCGCTCACGCTCCATTGCTCTTTCTCACTATCGAACTCGCGCGTCCATCTTCATTGCACGCGCCGATTCGCGCGTCCTCTATCTCTCTCTTTGTCTCTTCCCTTCTTCTCTCACTCGCCTCGCGCATCTTCGGTCTTCGTCGGCCGTGCGCCGAGTGCTCGCTTTCTCTTTCACTCACGTGCAGCGCGGTTCCCACTCCCATTGGACCGCCGGGCGACCACCACTCGGCGCTCACTTCAGTCTGCTTCAGTCTACGCCGAGTCGTCACGCGCGTTGGTTCAGATTTCTTTTTGGTTTTGAATCGTCGTGCCGCGTCGCGTATCGTTCGCCTGTCGTTTGCCTGTTTCTTCGCCAAACAAAACGCTCGCGAAAACGTTTTTAATTAAAGACGTGTCCAATTTTGAAGCGAAAACTGTCGCAGGCGGCAGCATGGTGGATCCGCGGAGTGATGATCCGACATCGCGTCCCGTGTGAAGTGCATCGCTCTTTATCCAGCTGGATCAACAGCGATCAAGTGAGACGGTTAGTGACGAGTGTCGCGCACTCGACCGCTCCTCTCTCATTGTATTATTGTTGATTATTACTGTTCTACTCTGTTTCGTTCTGCTCTGTTCTGCTCTGCCGCGTACTTTGCTGCGCGCACTATTCATCCTGTGACACGGATACTTAGGATCGTCAGGCATTAGATAGGACGGGACGGACCGTCGACCAGTCGTCGGACCGCGCAACATGGACTTCATAATATTAAAGGTAAGATCTCTCCTTTTGTTACGTTTGCAAAAGTCTGCTAATTTCAGTTGCTACGCGTAGAGAAATTTATTTCTATTTAGATGTGGAATATTCCTATTGCGACAATGCATCGCGATGTAAACAAACCATCGTTTTGGTATGGCAATAAATAATTTTCGAATATTGCCACATTATCCTATTCAGTTCTAAATAATAATAATAATAAGAATATAAGCCATTTTGAAATGATACCGTGCACAAAAAATTTGTCTTATTTAGAATAATTTCTTGCTATTTCTCGCTATATATCACGATATATCACATTTTTTTATATTCGTCTATTATTATAATAGACTAATTTTAAGATCTTGTCACGCATATAAATTTATTTTTCTTTCTATCGTGATATATGTATATTTCACTAATCCAATTGCATTAATTAGTTAATTTTGAATTACTGTATATAAAAAAATTCACTTGTTTTCGCATGACAGGTATTAGTATGTTTTATTATCGTTTTACTACAGCAGTAAACAAAATTCGAAATGAAGAATTTATAAAAAAATTCGAAAGCATTCATAAAAATCCAAAAAGAATTCCTTGCTTGGTTTGTTTCTGCTATCATGATACATCTTTCTGATTACATTAAATTTGCTTTTACAAGTACCGTAAGAGTCATCTGGAAAAGGTGTTCTTGTTCGATTTTAGAAAATTATATTGTCATGGTATTGAACATTTTTCGTTATCTAGACGGTACGTGTCGAAAGGAAAACCGTTTTATCTTGCGAAATTGGCGAATAGAAGCCGAATCGTCTGTGATCTCTCAACGAGTAGACGCAACGAGAACTTGTCCTTGAAGGGCAACGCGCGTTGTATTCTCGAGTGTTCATCGCGCCAAACGTGCCTTATCCTTGTTCATATCACACCACTCGAGACAAGCCGTGCACTTGGCCTGTGTGGAGGAAGTTACGAACACGTTGCGCGAACAAAAACGAGCAATCCGCTCGTTAACTCGTTTGTATCGTGTCGGACGACGCGCTATCGAGCTCGGTGTCGATTACTATCGAAACGGTCATAGTAAAAAAATTTATTTACTAAAACAACTCCCTCGTTTCTTTGTTTTTATCGAGACCTGTGCGACGCATTCTCGGTCCGTTCATTTGTTTATTTGTTTATTTGAAAAAAGAAAACCTTGTAAATGGTTTGGAAATAGATTTTTAAAGATGAATATCGGTGAGTTCTGAAATTAGTATGAATGAGAGACAAACGTATGTCACATATTGAAAAAGTTACGTTAATTTTATAAGTATAAGAGAAACTGTTTGCATTTTAATTGATGACGAAATGCTGCACGATAAAAAGTGTGATTTTCACGATAGGCATCTAACGAGAGACGAATATGGAGAATGTTACGTGTATCTCGCGTCGCATTAGGCCGTAGTGAGTTATTAATGCCGTTGTTTCAACTGTGTGTCGTGTTAAAAGCCGGATCGGAGTGTCCTGTAGGACAAGAACGAAATCGATTAAGCGCTGATAACATCCATTTCCGTGTTCTCGGCCGCGTCGCGATTTGAATAACGGTCATTCGGTGACAATTCGTCTATTTCAACGAAATTACATTTTACACGGTGTAAATGCGCGTGCGCGCTCCAGAGTGTTCTGGCACGGAACGGAGCAAAACGTATTACGATGCATTTACATCGTGAGTAATAATACACGTGACATATATAGACTCGCGGTCCAGACGTAAATACCGCACCATTAAGCGACCCGCTGCCATTGGCGCGCCGAATAAGTTCGCGAAAACGCGCCGGTATAAAATGAATATTTGTATAACGTATTGAACAAATACGAATCGAGAGCGATGACGAGTGCCGCTCTGCAAGTATATATTGGATCCAATATACTTACTCACCCATCGCGCGGAGTTTGGAGTCGGGAAAAGACCCGAACTTGTTTACCTTCGCCAGTTGGAAATTGACACAGCTCGCTAGAAAATTATCGTTATTACGTGTTACAGTTTACAGTTAACACATGCGCATGGCAAAAAATATCGAATATGGAAGTTATTGCGGATTGATGCATTCAATAAAATTTGCAAAAAATCCAGAAACAGAAAACCCACAATTGAAAATTTTCTATTTCTATATTTTTTTTCTAAAAATTCTGATTTGATTTTTACAAATTTTGAAATTTTTTAAAAATAAATGCACTAAAATTCAATCCAGTTTTAAAAGAGTACACAGTTTTAAAAAATTATTATTTTAAAGTTATGAATAAAGTTGCAAAGTTATAAAAATTGCAAAAGAAAACTTTTCAAACTTTCAAACTTTATATAAAATTCAGAAAAAAATTTGTTTAGAAAAAACATTAATTGAAATAATCAAACATATTCCGTCCCCCCCCCTCTTCAAAATAAAAGAAATTAATTATATTAATTTGTTGATGAAGAAAAAGATAATTTTGCCTTTTGATTTCACATATTTCCCCTTAAGAATTAAAATGTTTAATAAAGTATAAAGTAAATGTAATTTTGATAAATCTTTGGCAAGGAGATAATTTTATTGATATTTCCAATTATTCTAACTAATATCTTTTATTTATGTTATAAAAATTGTATTTGTGTGAAAAAATGGTTATTTCTTTTATCCTGTTCCGTATCCACTAACAAAGAATCTTTGTTAGTGGATACGATGGCATCATTCGAAAGGGTTAAAGATCTTAAATATGCGATTGCTTCAGAGGTTCAGAGGTTAAATATCTTGCATTTTGCATTCTACTTGTCCCCCTCCTCTTCCCTTCTCTTCTTTCTTTTTATCTTTTTCGTTAAATCTCTGGAGCTCACAGTCACATAATTATGTCCTAATTATTGTCGCCGAGTTTTATGCCCGGATGTTGAAATTTCGCCATAACAAACATCTGCATTTTTAGGTGATGTGCGTCCTTCTGCATCGTTGCTGATATATATTTTACAGAACTAAAATCTAGTCAGTTTCAGTGATGTTTCATATAATATTTTTTTTTTTCGTGGAACCTGCAAGTAAAATATTTCTGGCAAGCGACCTTTTGAAACAATAAAAAATTTGTGTTAAATTTAGTTAGAAAGTGTCGATAATACCTAGACACATGGAAAATTATTTGTGTTAGATCATTCGATAAAAGTCGAAAAAGTTCGATAAAATTCGATAAAAATTCGAATTTACATTCTCAGAAAAAATGCTTATGAAGACTCATATTTTAATATAATAGAAGGCCAAGAAGGACATTTTGTATCACAAATATAATTTAAAGAAAAAGTTTTAAGAACTGCGTGATGATGATATTTTCCATAATCTGTTCATAATGTATGTTTTGAGATGATTTTAAACCTTGAAATTAAAATATATATATTTCACAGCACAGATTTTTAATTTTTATGGGTATTTTTACGGAGCACTTCTTGGCATGTTGTCTTGCGACATCAATAAACTTTATTTCCAAAGATTGCTCCCGGATATAACCATACCGTTAACGACACACGACGATCATATTTGAGCGAATATTCGGGAATATCCCTTACAAATTTATTTCTATAGTTTATACAAATAGTGCTTTCGAGGAAATAAAACGAAGAACGGACGCAAACTTTTTCATAGCATCGCGATGCGTTGTTTTTGATATATTATTGTTATTGGAAAATTACACTGATTTGCTTTAGTTATTTTATACAAATACATTAATTTTATACGATAATTAAATCACATTTCTGAAGTTTTGTTGATCTAAAAATGTATTCTGGAATATATTTTTTGACATATCAGTATATTTACATATTACATTACATATTACATTATATACATTATTCTACATAATTTTATTTAGTGAATAGATAAATATATTAATAATATATTTAAATAAATTGATGAATTTAATGTATAATTTAGTATATATAAAGGAATATGGATAAATAGTCTTCAACTTTGTAATTAAAATAAAATTCCTTTAACGTCAAAGTTGTATTAAAATAATGTTTTGCATTTGAAAAATACATTCTTTAGAATGTTTTTGAATATATACTTATTTTTTATGATTTTAAACAATATTTATATTTAATAAGACATTATTATTTTGTTATGTCTTTTCATATTCTATTTTGAAATGGATATCTGAATATTCTTAATGTTTTGGCAAATCCTTAAAAGAAATAGTATAACATTGGTTTCGGAGAGTTGTAATTCATCACTCTCGATTCATGAAAGAGACGTGCCACGATTACGTATTAGGATTCTGCAGTGATACATAATTGATCGCAAAGGTGAAACGCGAAGTGGCCAGTGGAAATTCGCAATTTCCGTTTGGCTCAAGTAGAAAGTTACGACCGGCTTGATAGAGTTTCGTCGTTTTCTTCCTGTCCTCTAAGATTTGCAGTAGCGACGCTGGAGTTTCGAAGCTTTTTGCGTCGCAATTGCACGTACGTATACTACGATATGGTCGCGACATCCACAAGTACTTTTACCTCGATAAGTACCTTGCCATCATTATAACTTAACACGCTTATCATTCCGAGAAGCGAGGTGTACGATAAACAATGATAAACGGATTTCTATGGAGCTGCCGGTGGTTTACTGCATATCAAACCATTCGTCACGAAGAGAGATAGGGTAGAGAGGAGGGTAGCTCCTTTTGGAGCTGCTTTTTCTTGGAATATTTTACCACGTATTCATATTTTTATTCACTTATTATTTCTTTTAGGGTTGGAATGTTATTTAAATATGACATATCCAAGTGCAATTTATGCAAGATATACGAGATATGATTTAAAGTAATTCATTAAAATAATATAAAAAAAAACTTCTAAATTTACAGAAAAAATAATTTAAACAAAAGTTGTATAATTCCAATTAAATTTTTATTTGCATATCCGATTGCAGCTCTTCATGAGAACAATTTAATTGTAAAAAGTGGCACAATAGTATAAAAAATAGGTAGTATTTTTTATAATTTAGGCGGAAACATCTCTCTTTTTCTCTCTTCTTTTACGG